GACTGTATATTTGTGGGCGAACGATACGAGAGAACAGAGTTGGGCAAAGGGAGGAGGGAGCGGAAACAAGGGCTAGAGCGGTTGCACACAGGACAAAGAGGACAGCTTGCTGCTGACATGCTCTGCCTGGACTCCAGACTAAGCAATAGTGCTTCCTGATGATGAAAGATTTTCCATGAAACTAATTTTACAAAACAACAAGTGAGTAGAAATTTCATACTGGCAGACTCTGACCTCTGCTACTCACATTCTAGCCTGTGTCAGCCTGCCTCAGCCTACACTCACCTCTATGCTGGCAGAACAGAGCTTCGGGCACAGATTTCCACCTCCGTGTCAACCTGGCTCTCATTGCAGCATCAGGAGGGTGTGGGATCAAACCCCAAGTCAGGGACTTTGAATTTCCAGTCTAGGCTGACACTCCAGTGCAGTGCTGAGGGCACATTGTTAGAGATGCAGTCCTTTCATTGAGACTTTAAACCAAGGCCTCGTCTGCCTGTTTTTTTTAGTCAGACGAGTGTCTGACACATATGGAATATCCCCATACTTAAGAGTATCCAAACCAAACTGAGAATTCCATGTATCCCACCTACACACGGAAATCCCAGCGATGGATTGTTGGAATGGAATGTGCGCTCTCTCCCTGGAGGGACGCGTCCTGTTTACTTAATTCTGGAGAGTATTAGGCGCAGACTGGCAAGAGCCAAGGCTTGGGGACCCCAGAGTGTGCGTTGGGGTAACTGCTGGGAGTCTAACCAGCTAAAACAGCATAGCTTGCCATTGAGAGTAATGTCTGGCAATCCTTCCCTCTGCTTGTCCAGCTGGGACAACCCTACCCCTTAAGGGTTTGGTTTGCAGGGTTAACAGGAGCTGAGTGGGAGGATTCCCTACCCCCAGTGACTGGTCTGCCCTTCCAGGTCCTGCCGATGAGCCAGGCTGGGCTGTGCTGTCATCAGCTGTGCCCTGCAATACTGCAGACCCGCCTGGCTCAGGAACCGGACGAGAGACCGTCACAGAGGGTGGGCTCGATTCTGAAATTCCATTGCCAAACATGTCACTTTGGAGTCAGTTCTGAGGAGACCCTACTTAATTCCTCCCCATCCCCCCACGTAGTCCACTACCTCCCTCGCTGTGGACTTTACTTACTGTGCCGATGGAGGAAAAACCTCAATTTCTTCATCTAAAAAGGGAAGCTGGTCAATGGGTAGAAACCACATTGGTGTTCACAGTCCAATCTCGGGGCACTTCCCCCACACTGAGCCACTGTGGTTACAACATTCAGACCCGACACCCAATGCACAATAGTACAACTTAGCGCAGCTCTTCTGCTTTCTCTCTGACAATCACACACGCTGGGAGGACATCTCGTAGCACTTTGGGATGTCCATTTGACAAGAAAGCCGCTACATGAATGCAATTTGTTGTTGTTGCTTCACAGGAATTACTGGGGAGTGACTGTGTATTTTGTGGGTGAATGCGGTAACCAATTTGTGTACAGCAACATCCCACCAAACATGAGTGAACAATTTTATTTGGGGGATTGTCAGCCAGACACTGAGAGATGGAAACTCCCTTATTTTCCAATAGCCTCAGGATCTTTAACATCCACATGAACAGATACAGAGTAGAGGGGAGCTTGATTTCTCATCAAAATAATCAACGACAACAACAGCATTTATATAACGTCTTGGAGCGCTTAAGTCTCCTTGGAACCAGCTATGAACGGTTAGGAATTTGTTCTTTATACCGACCCAATGTAACACATCATCACAAAGCACTTGACAGGTAATACTAAACTAACAATATGATCATACAATAAACTGAAAAAGAGAAGAGTGCGGAAAGATACAGACGCTTTGTACTGGGGGTGTGGCCAGTTAGATGGACCGTGAGTTTGAGGAAGCTGTTAGGTTTGGATGGACTGAGTACTGTGGGCTCGAGGTGGATGGAGAGAGGATATGGGGATATGTTTTGGGGATATTATAGGGGTAGTTTGGGGGTATTGGGGGGGTTTAGTGGATTAGTTTGGGGAGGGCAGTTTGGCGTGTCAGTTTTGGGGTGCTAGCGGGTAGTTAAGCTGCCTCATTTCCTCACCCATTGCCCCACATGGTGCCATGTTGCTAGTAGTTTTGGGGGGCTATTATGGGATAGTTTGCAGGATAGTTTTGGGGGTGTTAGGGACAGTTTTTGGATGTTAGGGGAGTTTTTTGGGGGTGTTAAGGGGTGTCAGTGAGGTAGTTTGGGGGTGTCAGTGAGGTAGTTTGGGGGATGGCAGTGGGGTAGTTTGGGGGGTGTCAGTGGGGTAGTTTGGAGTATCAGAGGGGTAGTTTGAGGGGTGTCAGTGAGGTAGTTTGGGGGGTGTCAATGGGGTAGTTTGGGGGTGTCAGTGGGGTAGTTCGGTGGGTGTCAGTGGGGTAGTTTGGGGGGTGTCAGTGGGGTAGTTCGGGGGGTGTCAGTGGGGTAGTTTGGGGGGTGTCAGTGGGGTAGTTCGGGGGTGTCAGTGGGGTAGTTCGGGGGTGTCAGTGGGGTAGTTCGGGGGGTGTCAGTGGGGTAGTTTGGGGGGTGTCAGTGGGGTAGTTCAGGGGGTGTCAGTGGGGTAGTTTGGGGGTGTTATCGGGTTAGTTTTCGGGGTATTACAGGGGGAGGTGGTGGGGAGGAGGTGGTGGGGGTGGGGGAGGGGGGTGGGAGGAGGTGGTGGGGGGGTGGGGGAGGAGGTGGGTGGGGAGGAGGTGGTGGGGGGAGGGGGAGGAGGTGGTGGGGGGGTGGGGGAGGAGGTGGTGGGGGGAGTGGGGAGGAGGTGGTGGGGGAGGTGGGGAGGTGGGGGTGGTGGTGGGGGGAGGAGGAGGAGGTGGTGGGGGTGGTGTGGTGTAGCGGGGGAGGAGGTGGTGGTGGTGTGGGTGAAGGAGGTGTTGGGGGAAGTGGTGGTGGGGGGGAGGAGGTGTTGGGGGAAGTGGTGGTGGGGGGGGTGGGGGGGGGTGGGTGGTGGGGGGGGTGGGAGGGGATGGGGATGGGTGGTGGGGATGGGTGTGGGGGTTGGGGGGGGAGGAGGTGGGGTGGGTTGGGAGGGGGATGTGGTGGTGGGGGTTGGGGGTTAGACTGCCGATGGTGGGGCGGACCGGGCGGGTGACATGGAGCAGACTGGAGCCTGCTGAGCGGAGAGAGTGAACAAGTCGGTATGGACCTGAAAAGGAGTAAACACCAGGGTATGAGCGTGAATGGGACTGAAAGGATAGCTCTTTAAAAGAGCCAAGACAGACAAGAGGGTCTGAATGTCCTTCCTCTGTGTGTAAAGGTCTATGGTTCTATAATTATTCATGGTAACAGGATTCTGATTCCAGCCTCTGTGCCTGTGGGTCCAATTGTAAATCAGTACCTTGTTGTTTTAATATTCTTGTATTGTCCACTGTTTTGTTGACTTGCAATAAATGTGAAAGGCCATTTAGCGGCATTGCATGATTCATCATGTTTTGTTCTGTGATTTTTCTTATTATCAAATGTGTTCAACAACAACAACTGTAGAAGTGGAGTCCTGTAGTTTAGTGGTTAGAGCACTTGGCTCACAAACAAGAAGTCCAGGAATCGATTAACTTGCATTTATATAGCGTCCCATTTGCCCACGGCAATATCCTGGCAAACAGCTATCAAGTGAGCGAGCGATTATATCTGGGGGATTGTTGGCCAGGAAACTCCTTTCTCTTTTCCAATAGAGCCACCGGATCTTTAACATCCACTTCAGCAGGTACAGATTGGTAGCTTGGTTTAACATCTGACGCTTTTTGCCCACAGAATACACAGTCACTTCTGCAGCGTAGTGGTTAGTGTGCTCGTCTCACAAGCGAGCGGACCCGGGTTTGAAAACCCAGGATGAATCTTAGGCAAATGTCCTTACTCCACACACCTGTTTATCTAGGAGTAAGTAGGAACCCAGTTGGGGGATCACTTTCTAGGAGCAATAATCCCTCCAAAAAAAAGTCACTCAATCCACAATTGTGTGTGGGACACTGCTGTGTGCAATTAGCTGCCAGGTTTCACCCACAAAATACACACAATCACTTCCCTTTACAGCATATCCCGTGAAATGTTTTGAGACATCTTGATGACATAGGTGCTATATCAAATGCAAGGATTATTATTGTTATACTATTATTATTAATGGGACGTATTCCCGACTTGAATGGCGTAATACAAATGACATTTATTGTTATTATTCTTATTATAAATCCTCCGAAGTGCTTTGAGAGGTGACAGCAAGGTGTAATGCACTGTAATAATAATAATCCTTGTATTTGATATCGCACCTTATCACGTGTTTGAGACATTTCAAAGCCCTTCACTGAATATACTGTAAAGCGGAGTGACTGTGTATTTTGTGGGCGAAAGGCGGCATCCAGTTGCGCACAGCAGTGCCCCACAAACAACCGAGTTTATTATTATTGAGTCCTGTAGCTCAGTGGTTAGAGCACTCGCTTTGCAAGTGAGAGACCTGAGTTCAGTTCCAGGCAGAGGGCGAAACCTTGGGCAAGTTTCCTTACTCCACACAGAGCCTAATAATAATCCCTCCAAAACCCAAAACAATAATAAATTGGTCATTTTCAATCTACAACTGTTTGTGGGACATTGCTGTGCGCAATTGGCTGCCGCGTTCGCCCACAAATATACAGTCAATTCGCTTTACTGCGAAGCGCTTTGGGACGTCCTCCCGACGTGAAAAGCGCTATATCAAATGCGCGGATTATTATTATTATTATTATTATTTTGAGGGGAAGGGATTATCACCCCCTGTAAAGGAAAAAAATCAAACTGTAATCAAATGCAAATCAAGGATGACATTACGGTTTACAGCATTATCGGGAGGGAAAGAGGGAGGGAGGGAGGTGTGATCTCTCTCAGTCCCAGCCCTTAAAATTTACATAGTCTATCCTCTGAGCAATGTATCCGGTCACAGCACAGCTGTGAAGTGTGTGTGTGTCAGTGAGAGAGGGATCTGAGCAGCAGCAGCAGCAGCAGTGATGGCAGAGAGAGAGACCGTGTTCAGGGAGTGCCTGTGTGTGATCACAGGGGCTTCTCGGGGTTTGGGCAAGGAGCTGGCGCTGCAGCTCGCCCCCAGCCTCACAGGGGCCTCCAGTCTGGTGCTGGTGGCCAGGTCTGGGGAGAGGCTGGAGGAGGTGAGGAGGGCTGTGCTCGCCTCACAGCCATCGCTGCGTGTTCTCCTGGTCCCCGCTGACCTCAGCACCGGGCAGGGAGTGGGGGCCGCACTGGCTGCGCTCCCGCAGCACCGTCCCCGGAGGCTGCTGCTCCTCAACAATGCAGGTGAGAGGTTTGTCTGCGTCTCTGCACTGCTTCATGGACAACCCCCCCAGAGCGGGGACGCAGGCCTCCATCCTGTCCCTATGTCCTTAAACCCACAGCCTCCTGTGCTAAAGTGTACCCAAACCTACTTCCGGAGACGTTCCGTTGAGTGTAGTGACTGGACTGAGCGCCCGACAACAACAGCAGCAACAACAACAACAGGATTCCATTTACAGAGCGCCTTTCACGTCGGGAGGACGCCCCAAGGCGCTGGACGGTTGGGTCGGGACCCGAGCATTGGGTGGGGGGGCGGGAAATGGTCAGGGGGAGGGGAGGGAAGGGAGCGAGGAGGGGGTAGAGAGTCGAGAGGGGAGCTGAAGGCACGGTCAAAGGTCCCAGCGTCCAGGCTGACGTTCCAGCTGTGCTGGGGACGTGGGGTTGGGGAGGGAGAGTGCTGCATTGGTGGAGGTGAACGACAACAGCAATTTGCATTTACATGGCGCCCTTCACGTGGGGTGGGGTCGAGCAATGTTTGACAGTGGCAGAGCCTGACACCGAGCCGGGGGGGTGGGGGGAGGAGGCGGTGAATCTTAAGCCAGTCAAAGAGTCAGGTTTTTAAGCGCAACCTAAAAGACAGGAAGGAGAGGTGAGAGGCTGAAGTGTGGCTGAAAGCACAGTCGCTGATGGTGGAGCAGAGAGGATGAGGGACAAACAGGAGGCGAGAGCTGGTCAAGTGGAGGCAGCGGGTGGTGAAGTGGGGAGTAGTCAGGTCGGAGAGGTAGGGAGGTGTCAGGGTATGAAAGGATTTGTAGATGAGTGAGAGGATCTTGAAGTAGATCCATTCAGTGATTGGGAGCTTGTGGAGCCTGGCGAGGACTGGTGTAATGGGGATACCAGTTTAGTGTGGGTGAGAATAGGGGCAGCAGAGTTCTGAATCAGTTCGATTTGATGAATAGTGGAGCTTGAGAGACCAACGGGAAGGACAGTGGAACAGTCGAGGCAGGAGGTGATGAAAGCGTATATGATTGTTTAGGCTGCGTAGGGTATGAGTTACGGTCGGAGACGGGCAATGTGATGGAGGTGGAGGAAAGTGGGATGTGCTCCCGATGTGAAAGGTGCTCTACAAATGTAACTTTATTGTTGTTGTTGTTCTGGTCAGGGACTGGGTGTGGGCAGAAAGGACAGGTTACCCTAGGTAACCTGACACCTAGGTTACGTACAGGTTCAGTATGTCTTAGGGACAGGCCAGGGAGGTTGAGGATGTCGGAACAAAGGGATGAAAGTTAAACCAAGATCCCGTCTGCGCCTGTTCAGGTAGACGTTAAAGATCCCGCGGATCTGTTGGGAAAGGAGAAGTGAATTTCTCTCTCCTGGTGTCCTGGCCAACAATCCCCCAGATAAAATCGGTCACTCACTCCATGACTATTTGTGGGACGCTGCCTTTACAAATTAGCTGCTGTGCTGGCCTGCAAAATACACAGTCAGCACACTTTACAATGAATCCTGTGCAGCACGCTGAAATATACTGCTGATGTGAAAGAGTTGTATCAATTGTAAAGCTTATTCTGATGCAATAGCAAAATATTAATCCTTGCATTTGATATAGCACCTTATTAAGTCTTCAAGATGTCAGTGCTTTGGGACGTCCTCCCGACGTGAAAGGTGCTCTATAAATGTAATTTTGTTGTTGTCTCAAAGATTTCACAGAATATACTTAAAGTGAATTAACTGTATATTATGTAGGCAAAACACGGCAACAAGAACAATTTGCACTTACATAGTGCCCTGCATGCAGGGTAGCATCTCAGCATTTAACTGCCTGTCGGACATCAAGTCCTGGATGAGAGCAAATTTCCTACAGTTGAATGTGAACAAGACTGAGGCCCTCCTGATGGGCTCGCGCCAGCGCCTCAGCACCTCAGGCTCTGACAGCATCAACCTCCATGGTTGCACACTTCAACTCACCGCCAGTCAGGAACCTCGGTGTCTTGTTCGACCCTCAACTGTCTTTTCTTCCCCACATCCAAGCCATGACTCGCTCTGCATTCCCTCACCTTCGTAACATTGCCCGACTCCGCCACTACCTCACCCCTCAGGCCGCTGAAACTCTTGCTCATGCCTTCATCACCTCCAGGCTCGACTATGCAAATGCCCTGCTTGTCAGCCTTCCCAACTCCTCCCTCCATAGGCTGCAGATAATCCAGAACTCTGCAGCTCGTGTCCTCTCCCGCACCAAACTCTGTGACCCATCTCCCCCACTCTCACCCGACTCCATTGGCTCCCTATCCTTCAGAGGATCCAGTTCAAGATCCTGGTCCTCACCCACAAAGCCCTCCATGGCCTCGCCCCACCCTACCTCTGCGACCTCCTACCCCCTACCAACCCACCCGCTCCCTCCACTCAGCCGGCTCTGGCCTGCTCCACATCCCCTGACCCACCCGCCCCACCATTGACAGGAGAGCCTTCAGCCACTCTGCCCCCAACCTCTGGAATTTCATCCCCCAGTCACTCCGCCTCACCCCCTCCTTAGCCTCCTTCAAGTCCCGCCTCAAACCCCTCCTCTTCGACCATGCCATTAGTCACTCCCTTCCCCTCCCCGAACGAGCAGAACGACCGTTGTCAGTTGAGCGGAGTTGGAGTTGGTACTGGAGGAGGCAAAGTAGCTTTATGTGTCATCCGCATACATGTGGAGGTTTACCCCGTGTCTGGATGGCATCACCCAGAGGGAGCGTATAGATAAGGAAAGGAAGAGGGCCAAAGATGGAACCCTGGGATACCCCGCAGGTGATCGGACGGGGGCGGGAGGAGAATCCATGTGCCAAGATGAAATAGAGGCAGTTGTTTAAGTAGGCGATAGCCAATTGCGCATAGCAGTGTCCCACAAACAGTCATGGATTGACTGACCAAATTATTATTTTTTTGAAGGAATTATTACCCCTGGAAAAGCGTGCAAGAAAATAAAATCAGCCAAATCTGTAAGGAAAATAATGCTAATTCCTTTAACCAGATATCAGACTGTTTTATTTTTATTCGTTCGTTATTCCCTAATATCCCGATGGGTCAGACCAAAGACCGGTACAATCAACAGATCTTATAACAGAATAATACCACCGTAGATATCTCGAGTTCAAGAGTTCAACACTGTGTCTTTACAATACACAAGCTTGATTCTTCATGCTTTCAGTCTTCTTGCTTACAGCTTTCAATGTTCCATCTGATATCCTCAGTCTTAGTGTTTCTAGCTCTCAGTCTTCCATCTCCGTACCCTTGTCTCCGCAGCCCGGGATGGCCCCATCTCCCGTATCCTTGTCCCCGCGACCCGGGACGGCCCCGTTTCACAAAGTTAACGGAACTCTTATACCAATGTTCATCCAATCATGGTGCGGACATTAGTAGATCACCCGGTCGAAATCATGTTGGGTTCGCGTGCCTCAGCCCTCATACACATTGTCCTTAAGACCCCTGTTATCTGATCTAATTGTCTGAGATAGAGGATTGATCAGTTTAGGACTGTATCTGGTGCTCATTATCTTGTGGTGTGGGATCATTAGTACATTCCTTTTAAGTGACTGGTTATTACTTATCAGTGTCCTGGGATGGTACCAAGGTCCTCTAGTTTAAGCAACTTGCTCATTAATTGCTATTCTTGAGGGTTGCCTTCTGTCGGTTGGCAGCCTTGTCAGAATCTTATTTCTCAGTCGAGATCCTGTGTCGACTGGTACCTTGGACCATTACCTCTGTGGCTTGTTGTCATTTACTGATAAGAGGTGACCCCCCTACCCCTGTCCGTTATTCTTTCAAAAACAGAGAAAACCAGATATGTCCTATCCCATGACTGTCAGTCCAGTTGTCCCCCACACTTAACCTAAAAGTTAACCCATTCACAACATCTATTATGATTCTAGCAGTATACAAACAGTGTAGATTCTAACAAGCGATCTGCCAATCGACTAACAACCGGGTTTCTAGTTACTGCTAGGTAAACAGAGGCTTGTGGGTAAAGAAACGTGCCCAACCTTTTTGCCCTGTCGGGAATCAAACAATCAAAGCGAATTCTCTAACCGTAGAGCTACAGAACTCGACAATAATTCTTCCAGCGTGTGCATACTTTGACAAACAAGTGCAGCCTCACTGTCATACTTGTGTTCTGGCCCTGCTCAGGCACGCACCCTCTCACCTGCACATCAGGAAGTTGTGGAGTTCATGTCTTTCCCCCACCTCCACCCCTCCCTCCCCATGGCAGATGTGGCTGCGGGGCCTCCAGCTTTCTGGGGCCATGCATTCAACACTCACACCATCCTCTATGTGAAGAAATGTTTCCTCTTCTCGCTTCTAATCGCTCAACTTTAGTCTCTGTCACTTTTAAGCACTCTGGGACGCTATCCTATGTGAGGAACACTATATAAATGCAAGTTGTTGTTGATATATTGCTCCTTTATCTCACGGCTATTTACAAAACCTAGCTGTGTTCCTAATGGCTGCTGTGTTTGCCTGCACACTCGGTGGAATACATCCGTCAGTCACTCTCATTGTGTCTCTGGTCCCGCAGGCTCACTGGGAGACGTCTCCAAGTTCGTTGTGGATTTCACCAGCCCGGCTGAGATCACGGACTATTTCAGCCTCAACGTCACGTCCTTCATGTGTCTGTCCGCAGGGGTGCTGCGGGCATTCCCGCAGAAGGCAGGACTGACCCGTACTGTGGTCAACATCAGTTCCCTGTGTGCCATCAAACCCTTCAAATCCTGGTCTCTGTACTGCATGGGCAAGGCCGCCAGGGAAATGATGTGTCACGTGCTGGCGGCAGAACAGCCAGACCTCAGGGTCCTCAGCTATGCTCCAGGTAACTCTCCACACATCACAATTGGGAGGGGGGTTAGAGTGAGTACAGAGCTCCAGTGGGGGAGCGAGCACCAGCACAAACACGAATGGGAGAGAGCAGGGAATGGGATTAGAGGAAAGAGCTCCAGTGGGGGAGTGAATTTTCCTATTGTGTGGTGTGTGGTTCCTTGAGTCTATGTAGTTACTCTCTGCTTCCCTCCTGGCCTCTGCAGGACCTCTGGACACGGATATGTTCCTCCAGGCCCGGACAGAGACGGGTGACCCTGAGGTGCGGGAGGCCGCGAAATCTCTGTATGCGGAGGGCAATGTCCTGACCCCCAGGATTCTGCCCGAAAACTAGTGGACATCCTTGTGAGGGACCAGTTCGAGTCCGGTGCCCATGTAGATTTCTACGACAAGTGACTTCCTCCCCCCGACCCCCTCACAACCGCTCCACTGTGCATCTGATGTAGGTTGGTTGATGATATGAGACACATGCTGATAAAAGCTGGGAGACGTGATCCCTCCCTTTCTCCCCCAGCCTCTTTCACACTCCCCAGCTCCTTCCCCCAGCTCTTCCCCCAGCCCCAGCTCCGCCCCCACTCCCCTCTCACTTGCAAGTTGAGTGCTCTAATACTACGCTAAAGGACACAAACATCAACTATTCTTGGTAATGGAGCAGACTATGGAACTGAGCAAACAGACCTTGTGAGGCACAATTAATAATTACACAGCACCTTTCATGTAAAAGCAACTCGCTCTAATCCCGAATCCCTCTCTGCTCTTTCACCATCTGTGATCAGGGCTCCCTCTGCCTCCTTGTCCTCCTCGACCTCTCTGCCGCCTTCGACACTGTCGACCACTCCATCCTCATCCACCGCCTCTCCGCTTCAACCTTCACGGATCTGCCTAATAATCTGCCTAATAACTCCACACGCCTAATAATAATCCCTCCAAAACAAAACAATAATAAATTCATCATTTTCAATCCATGACTGTTTGTGGGACACTGCTGTGCGCAATTCACTGCCGCGTTTCGCCCAGAAATATACAGTCAGTTCACTTTACAGCATATTCTGTGAAGCACTTTGAGACGTCGAGAAGATGTGAAAAGCACTATATCAAATGCAAGGATTATTATTTTATTATTATTATCTGGACTTGCCTGGTTCGATTGCTGTCTCTCTCACCATCTCCACTTCGTTGCCTCCAATGGTTTCTCCTCCAGCCTTCGTACTGTCACATCTGGCGTCCCCCAGGACTCTGTCCTTGGCCCTCTCCTCTTTAATATCTACATGCTCCCCCTTGGTGACATCATCCATAGACATGGGGTCAACGGATGACACCCAACTCTACCTTTCTGCCACCATCCTCAACTCCAGGACCATTGCTGTCCTGACAGACCGTCTGTCGGACATCAAGTCCTGGATGAGGGCAAATTTCCTACAGTTGAATGTGAACAAGACTGAGGCCCTCCTGATTGGCTCACTCCAGCGCCTCAGCACCTCAGGCTTCGGCAGCATCAACCTCCATGGTTGCACACTTCAACTCACCAAGACAGTCAGGAACTTGGTGTCTTGTTTGACCCTCAATTGTCTTCTTCCCCACATCCAAGCCATGACCCGCTCTGCGTTCCCTCACCTCCGTATCATCAACAACAACAACAACAACAAGATTCCATTTATAGAGCGCCTTTCACGTCAGGAGGACGTCCCAAGGCGCTGCACAGTTGGGTCATGACCCGAGCAGGGGGGAAATGGTCAGGGTGAGGGGAGGGAAGGGAGGGAGAGAGGAGGGGGAAATGGTCAGGGTGAGGGGAGGGAAGGGAGGGAGCGAGGAGGAGGAAGAGAGTCGAGAGGGGAGCTGAAGGCACGGTCAAAGAGAAAGGTTTTGAGACCGGCCTTGAAGGAGGAAAGGGAGGAAGCAAGGCGAAGGCACTGGGGGATGGAGTTCCAGAGCCTGGGGGCTGAGAGGCTGAAGGCCCGACCACCGATGGTAGGGCGGTTGGGGCGGGGGACGTGGAGCAGACCGGAGCCAGAGGAACGGAGGGTACGGGCAGGTAGGTAGGGGGATAGTAGGTTGGAGAGGTAGGAGGGAGCAAGGCCGTGAATGGCCTTGTAGGTCCCACCCTTGTAGGTCATCACCCGATTCCGCCACTATCTCACCCCTCAGGCCGCTGAAACTCTTGTTCATGCCTTCATCACCTCCAGGCTCGACTATGCAAATGCCCTGCTTGTCAGCCTAATCCAGAACTCTGCAGCCCGTGACCTCTCCCGCACCAAACTCCGTAACCCATCTCCCCCACTCTCGCCTGACTCCATTGACTCCCTATCCTTCAGATGATCCAGTTCAAGATCCTGGTCCTCACCTACAAAGCCCTCCATGGCCTCACCCCACCCTACCTCTGCGACCTCCTAACCCCCTACCAACCTGCCCGCTCCTTCTGCTCAGCCGGCTCTGGCCTGCTCCACGTCCCCGACCCACCTGCCCCACCATTGGCAGGAGAGCCTTCAGCCACTATGCCCCCAACCCCTGGAATTGCATCCCCCAGTCACTCCATCTCGCCCCCTCCTTAGCCTCCTTCAAGTCTCGCCTCAAGACCCTCCTCTTTAACCATGCCATTGGTCACCCCCCTTCCCCTCCCCTCCCTTTACCCCCCCAACCTCAGCTCGGGTCTGAAATGCTCTACTCTGTCCAGCGCCTTGGGATGTCCTCCTGACGTGAAAGGAGCTATACAAATGTAATCTTGTTGTTGTGTGGGCTGTGCTAGTTAAAAAGCAGCTTGATGCTACGACATTAGGGTGGGTGTGTGCTCTGCAAGGATGAGACTGGATCGGCCAAAACCTTCTTCATCCAATTTAATCTTTGTGATCTTGTGGTGCTCTTTCCTGTGAGGGGGAAAGGGCTCCCTGGATGACTAAGAAAATTGGGATTAAAATGAAACAGATAAAGGAGGTTTATGATGAATGTCAAGTTCAAAATACACTAGAGAATCAAGCAGAATACAATAAGTGCAGAGGAGAACTGAGAACGGAAATAAGAGGGGCAAAGAGAGCATATGAGAAAAGATTAGCGGGTGACATAGAAGGGAACACTACAGTCTTCTGAAAACATATAAAGAGTAAAAGGATGGTCAAAGCAAGAGTGGAGCCGATCAGGGACCAACAAGGAAAACTTCTTGTGGAGGCAGAGAGCATGGCCAAGGTACTGAATGAGTACTTTGCATCTGTCTTCACAAAAGAGGATACCGGCAGTGTCACAGTAAAGGAGGAGGAGGTAGAGAAATTAGATAAGATTAAAAATAGAGGAGGTACTTAAAAGGTTAGCAGTGCTCAAAGTAGAAATTTCATCTGTTCTGGATGGGATGCATCCTGGATTACTGAGGGAAGTTAGGGTGGAGGCTCTGGCCACAAGCTTTCAATCTTCCTTGGATATGGGAGTAGTGCCTGAGGACTGGAGGGTTGCAAATGGGGGAGAGGAATAAATCTGGTAACTATAGGCCAGTCAGCCTAACATCGGTGGTGGGGAAACTTCTAGAGACCAAAAATAATTTTTATTTGGAAAAACATGTTAATTAACGACAGTCAGCACCTATTTGTTAAAGGCAAACTTAACTTGAGTTCTTTGAATAAATACCGTAGAGGATTGATGAAGGTATTGCAGTTGATGTAGTGTATTTGGACTTTCAGAAGGCGTTTGATAAGGTGCCATATAATAGACTAGTTAACAAAATTGAAGCCCATGGGATAAAAAGAACAGTGGCAGCATGAATACGAAATTGGCCATGAGACAGAAAGCAGAGGGCAGTGGTGAATGGTTGTTTTTCAGACTGGAGGGAAGTATACAGTGGTGTCCCCCAGAGGTCGGTATTAGGTCCACTAATCAGATCTGTTTGATATACATGACGTTGAGGTGTTAAATGTATGTCCAGAAAGTCATCAAAACCGCCTTCGTCGACCTTTGTATGAAAACCTCTTGTTATGTAACATTGTGGAATGAATTAGTATTTGACCCCCAGTGATCTCATTCCGGCTCAGCTGCTCCTATTTGAATTCACAAGTCATCCAGGACAGCCCTCTGGGGGGCGGTGGGGGCGGGGCCGGGGCGGTGGGGCGGGGCCGAGGTGGTGGGGGCGGGGCCGAGGCGGTGGGGGCGGGGCCTGGGTGTTAGGGGCGGGGCCGAGGCGGTGGGGGCGGGGAAACGTCCGCTCGGCGCTGCCGGCCAGGGCGACGTGCACGTTTGTGACGTCACGGCATCTGGTGCGTGGTGACGTCAGGCGGCAGCGGGCGGAGACCACAATGGCGGAGGCCGGGAGTCTGGAGGCGGCGGCCGAGCACGAGCGGATCCTGCGGGAAATCGAGAGCACTGACACGGCCTGCATCGGGCCCACCCTCAGGTACAGATAGCTCCCCGGGACCGGGACCGGGATATACTGGGAATGGGATATAATGTGGGGAGTGCCTTCAGGAATGGCATGTAATGATATCATTGGGAATGGCACATAATGCCACTGGGAATGGGAGATATACGTTGGGAATATCATTGGGAAAAATAATAATCCTTACATTTGATACAGCCCCTTATTGCGTTATGAAGACGTCTCAGAGGGCAGTGCGGTGGGTGGGGGGTGTTTGGTGGGGGCCGGACAGGGCGGTCAGTTTGCACACAGCACATGGAGTGAGTGACCAATTTAATTTTGGGTATTGTGGGCCAGGACACCGGGAGAGAAACGCCCTTCTCAAATAGTGCCGTGGCATCTTTGACGCCCACGTAAACAGGCACAGGCGGGAGCTCAATGTAACGTCTCATCCGAAGGTCGGCACCTCCGGCAATGCAACACACCCCCAGCACTGCACTGGATTGTCAGCTAAGACTATGTGATTCTAAGTCCTGATATGGGGTTTGAACCGAGAGCCTTCTGACTCCGGGGAGAGCGCTAACTGTGCAGGCTGACACCAATGGAAATGGGATATAATGTGGGGAACATCAGTGGGAATAGGATATCATAGCAGGAATGTTATCCAGGAAGAATTGGAATATAACAGCTTCAACAACAACTTGCATTTACACGGTACCCTTCAGCATTCAGAGAGCTTGCATTGTCAGGAATGTCACTGGGAATGAGGCACAACGCTGGGAATTGGATCAGTTATTGGGAGGCTGTCCTGCTGTATGAAGAGAGCTGGGCTGGTCTATGAAGGTGTGACCCAGTTTTGGCTTAAATGGGACAAGTCTGTGCATGTCACTATAAAATACTCAGCTCCCTCCTGTGTGTGGATGATCTAGTTCTGAATCCCCCAGTGAACACATCCGATTGGAATCTGTGCATGTAGCACAGTGGGGATGGGGGAGAATGTAGAGAAGAGGGGTAATATTTACAGGGTGTGAGACCAAGTAAACTCAATAATAATAATAATCGTTGCATTTGATATAGTGCCTTATCACGCCTTTGCGACATCTCAAAGCGCTTCATATACTGTAAAGGGAATTAACTGGTTGTTTTGTGGGCGAAACACGGCAGCTACTTGTGCACAGCTTTTTCCCATTAACAGCTGCAGATTGAGTGACCAAATTATTATTATTTTTATTATTTTTTTTCAAGAAAGAAATTATAATAATACCTATATCGATAATAATAAACCTTGTATTTAATATAGTGCCTTATCGTGTTGTTGGGACTTCTCAAAGCACTTCACGGAATATACTGTAAAATGAATGGGACTATATTTTGTGGGAGAAACGAGACAGTCAACTGCTCACAGATACAAGACCTGTCATTTTGGGAGGACGTCTCAAAGAGCTTCACAGGATTCACTGTAAAGTGTAGTGACTCTGTTTTGTA